AACACACATCTCAGTACACACAGCATGCACCTGCATATACATCATAGTATAAACACACGTAGTACACACAGCATGCTCCTGCATATACATCATAGTATAACACACATCTCAGTACACACAGCATCCTCCTACATATACATCATAGTATAACACACATCTCAGTACACACAGCATGCACCTGCATATACATCATAGTATAACACACATCTCAGTACACACAGCATGCACCTGCATATACAACATAGTGTACGCACACACATACACATCACAGTGTACAGGGCATGCACCTGCATATACATCATAGTGCTTATAATACTGGAAAGTAGAACTTAAATCCTCCAGACAGCTAGGTGGTGATGGTTTCTTACGGATCCATTAAAATCAAGTGAGGGGAGCCACCCCTGGCCACCTCCTCCTCTGCTTGGTGGAAGTGGTAACAGAGGAACTCCAGGCTGCCTGCTACCCAAGCATATGGCAAAAACACAGGACCCTTCTAGGAACAGAGACAAACCCCCAAGATATATGATCACACCAGCTGGGAGAACGTGAGGGACCAGTACCCTGGAGGCTGCGGGGAGCAGTGGGGTTCCTACCTAGCTCATCTTCAGGCATCATCAGAAGCTTCTTCATGGCCCGGAGCTGGACTTCAGGTTGGCTAGAGAAGTTCTGCATGACTTCTGCGAGGGCAGGAAAGCAGAAAAGGATCCTTCTGAGAGCGGGGGCATTGCCCACCACATGGACCTGGCTGCCAGATTTGTCATCTCCCTGGACCCGTGTGACCACAAAACAAGGTCATCCCCACTTCACAGATGAGACCACTAGGGCCACATGACAAATACAGGTCTGAACTTAGGAGCTCCTGAAACTTGTACAAACTGCCACTTACTCTGGGCACTGAGGAGGCACACAAGATGTGCTGTGTGAGGAAGGCCACCCAGGGCTACTGTGTGCCAGAGTATGGAGGCAAAGGGCAGGGAGTTCTGCAGGTTGGGTGCTGAGTGGGACATCGTAGCTGCCGAGGATTTGTGTGGCAGGAGCAGAGAACAAGGTGGGGCCAGGCTATGGAGATGAACTTTGTGCTATACAGGTAACTGGGAGGGCTGGAGCAGGCGTCCTCAAACTACGGCCCGCAGGCCACATGCAGCCCACCTCGGACATTTATCCAGCCCACCAGGTGTTTTTGCCGCCACTGCCTGTCCTGCCTAGCAGCCGACTCATCCCGGCGCCCACAGTCCGGCCCTCCAGTGGTCTAAGGGACAGTGAACTGGTCCCCTGTTTAAAAAGTTTGAGGACCCCTGGACCTGGAGGGTTCTTCAGCAAAGCAGTGCTTGGGGATGGATGGAGCGGTGGAGCCTGGGAACCTCCCATTCACTGGCCATGTGTGAGGAGCAAGTCCAGTGTGAATTGCCAAGCAACCCCCTCTGCCTTTGTATCCCCAATATCACCTAAGATGCTGGCGATATTGCTTCCTAACAGCGTGTCAGTGATGAATTCAGGGACCATCGGCCTGTGCAGGAACAGAGTGACACACGAGGACTTGAATGAATTCTTTACGAAGGTGATGTCAATCACATCCCTAGTGGAGGAGCAGAGGGAGCCAATGAGCCTTTCCTGACACACCCCGTGTGGCTTTCCTTCTGCCTCTGGCTCAGGGCTGCCAGATGGGGCAGAGGCTGGACATAACCCTTCTGTTTTGGAATCCATTTGGCAGGGTCTCCCACAATGTCCTCAATGTGTCTGGCAAGCTTCCTAGCAGTTCCACTCTGGGGACTCTCTGCAGAGGCACAGGACTCTCTCCTGGGCTGTGGGGGATGTCCTAAGCCTGGGCACTTGCCTTTGTGGGCCCTTTCCTCCATAAAAATCATACAAAAATTCAGACTTTATGCTATGTTGGTATAAAGATAAATATAGCCGGCTCGGCGCCTGTGGCTCAAGCGGCTAAGGCGCCAGCCACATACACCTAAGGTGGTGGGTTCGAATCCCCAGCCCGGGCCCGCCAAACAACAATGATGGCTGCAACCAAAAAAATGGCCAGGCGTTGTGGCGGGCGCCTGTAGTCCCAGCTACTTGGGAGGCTGAGGTAGGAGACTTGCTTGAGCCCAGGAGTTGGAGGTTGCTGTGAGCTGTGATGCCATGGCACTCTACCCAGGGGGATAGCTTGAGGCTCTGTCTCAAAAAAAAAAAAAAAGATAAATATAACCCAGGCTGGATTCATTGTTATATATTAATTTTTTTCTTCTGATTTTAAAATAAAGTTAGAATTAAAACTTTTTCCTGATCCCTAAGAGCATGGTGGGGCCTCAGGTCTGTGCCTGCCACGCCTGATGGGGAGTCAGCCTTGCTCCAGCATTCAAAGACGTGCCTGCAAGTGCCTTCAGGATCATCCATTGCAGCAAAGCCTGGGGTGGCCAAAGCATGGAAAAGCCCAGTTGTGCCTGTGATGGAGTTGTCATGGCAGAAAGCCAGGGATCCGTGTTTAAGTGGAAAGATGATGAAAGGTAAATTAATAGGTTAAAACGATTCTCAACCTGTGGGTCATGACCACAGGAACTGTATTAAAGGACCGTGGCATTAGGAAGGTTGAGAACGACTGGGTTAAAATAAAACCCTGACCCCAAGTTCACCTGATGGTTATTCTATCCAAGGGGTTGATCTGGAGCATCAACGGCAAAAGATCCACGAAGATGTTGGCATCTGGAATCTGTTTCACCTCCATTGTCTTCAGGACGTCGTTCAGGATGCCTGGGCCCTTGCGGAGGGACTTCCGGAGGTGCATGGCTTCTGTGCCCTTCAAGGGAAGATGACACTGTTTTGTGCATTCCCTCACCTAAAAGAAAACTGGGCCCAGGCCACCAGGAGAGGACATCCTGGGAATGAGGAACAGCAATCAGAGGACCAGATGCCAGCCAGATGCAGCTGCTGCCTGTGGCAATGTCAAGACTCCCTGGGCCCTAGGGACAATTCTATGAAGAAACTGGCCGGACACAGTGGCTCACGCCTGCAGTCCCAGCACTCTGGGAGGCTGAGGCAGGATGATTGCTTGAGCCCAGGAGTTGGGGCTGCAGTGAGCTGTGATCCTGCCACTGCACTTCGGCCCGGGCGCCAGAGCAAGACTCCCATCTCTCCCCCCACCCCTTTTTTTTTCTTTGAGACAGAGTCTCAAGCTGTCACCCTGGGTAGAGTGCTGTGACGTGATAGCTCACAGCAACCTCAAACTCTTGAGCTTAAGCAACCCTCTTGCCTTAGTTTTTCTATTATTTTAGTAGAGATGGGGTCTGACTTTTTGCTGAGGCTGGTCTCAGACCCATGAACTCAAGCTGTCTACCCGCCTCAGCCTCCCAGAGTGCTAGGATTACAGGCATGAGCAACTGTGCCCAGCTCCCATCTCTGTTTTTAAAAAAAAGAAATAGATGCTCAGAGGTAGTGTGAGCTGTCTCACAACTCTGCAGTCCAGTTCTGCCAACAAAGTCCCTGATATGGACCCAGCTGCAGGAGGTCATCATGCCACCTGACAGATTAAGAGTGCCCAGGTCCAGTGCTGCCGGGCTGACTGCAATCAGACACTTCTAGAACGTGACAAGCCCCCAAAGTGCTCGTACTCTCTGGGGACCTTGGTACATGGAGCTGGGGAGGCAGGGGAGCTTCCTTGCTCCTAAGCACAGTAGGTGCAGGGGTCTGGCCATCTGACCGCTCCCCACTTTGTCTTCTGAGTGCAGAGAATAGGACCCCAGCCTCCCTGCAGCCAGAGCGGCCACAGAAGCCTTCCCCCCACCCCACCCCCACTGCCGGCCGTAGACCTGGTGCAGGGGCCCCAACAGGGATAGGATCAAGAGTAGTGCATGCTAAGGATGTGCAGCAATGCCAGCCCTGGTGTGTCTGGACTACACAGGGTGTTTCCCATTGCTTGTAGCTCTAACAAGGGCACCTGAATTTGGTTTATCCTCCATCAGAAGTCTGTGACAACTCTTGGAGCTGCTGTTAACACAGAGCCTACCAGTGCATGGGGGTCTGAGGTAAGGCTCCTGTAGCCTGGACAGAGGCACAGAATGAGGAGGTAAGAGCAAGCCCCCGCCTCCGCCCCCGGCCCCCGCCCAGGCACCCCCTCACTTCCACAAAGGAGCAGCTGGTCATGTCGAGGATGATGCAGCCCAGGGACCAGACGTCAGATTTCTGACTGAAGGAGAATCCGAGAGCTTCAGGTGCCATCCAGGACTTATGAAGGGGGTCTGTTGGCAGGAGCAGAGTGAGGCCCATTGAGTCCTGGGCCCTCTGGAGGCACTGTGCCTCCTTGGGTGCCCTTCAGTCATTCTTCCTGGGAGAGATGGAGACATACTGTGGGGGACCAAGAGGACCTTGGTCGGCTAGACATCTGCCTTGACCTTGCAGCACTGGGCTGGACCTGTGTGTGCCGGGTATCTGTGTGCCCACTCTGGCCGCATGAGTTCAAAAGAGAATGTGCCAAGGTTAAAATCCACACTTCTCTGAACACCTTGACCCCTCTAAAGGTCAGGACCTTGGGGCAGAGTTCTAGTCACCCTGCCCTAGTTCCTAAACCTGAATCCTAGGCAAGATGCAGCAGAGCAGGGTCCTTGGTCAGCCTCGTAGTCCCCTATTGGTCTCAAGTGGCCTCTCCTTCATTAGACCTCCCTTCCCCAGGCAAACAGCAACTGGCTGGATTTCAAGGACCCTGCCACCTGCACCTCCAGCGGCCCCACACTTCCACCCATCCACACACTGTCATCCAGCCTACCACTCACCTACCTACCTGCCCACCCACCCGTGTACCCAGCTATCTAGCCATCCTACCACTCACCCCCCCCACACACCCACCATCCTCTGTCTACTGAGGATAAAGTGCCACCAGCAACTGCCAGCTGGGACTCTTCTCTGGAACTTTTTTTTTTTTTTGGTAGAGACAGAGTCTTACTTTATCACCCTTGGTGGAGTGCTGTAGCATCACAGCTCACAGCAACCTCCAACTCTTGGGCTTAGGCGATTCCCTTGCCTTAGCCTCCTGAGTAGCTGGGACTGCAGGCACCCACCACAACACCTGGCTATTTTTTTGTTGCAGTTTGGCCAGGTTCAAACCCGCCACCCTCAGTATGTGGGGCTGGCACCCTACCCACTGAACCACAGGTGCAGCCCCTTCTCTGGAACTTTCAGTGTGGTGGTTCTCTCCACTCACAGCTGTTACAGGTTTGCAGCCCGGGAACCTCTGTCCTGACATTTTGTCCAAGGAAAGACCTCGTCTCCCCTTGCCACCTGTCCCTCCTATCTGTTATTTTAGGGTTCCACAGAGTAATCCGTGTGGAGCCAGCACCTGGTACCTGGCAGGTCCTCTGCCCATTTTAATTTCCTTTCTTCAGAAGCTGCTACATCATTTTCCTAAATGCTGGTGTCTTCTTTTTTGTTTGTTTTTGAGACTGTCTCACTCTGCTCTGGGTAGAGTGCCATGGCATCAGCCCAGGCCACAGCAACCTCAAAATCCTCAGTTCAAGCAATCCTCTGCCTCAGCCTCCCGAGCAGCTGAGACTACAGGTGCCTGCCACAATGCCCGGCTAATTTTTCTATTTTTGGTAGAGACAGGGTCTCGCTCTTGTTCAGGCTGGTCTCAAGCTCTTGAGCTCAAGGGATCCTCCTGCCTCAGCTTCCCAGAGTGCTAGGATTATGGGTGTGAGTTGCCATGCCCCGCACTGCTGGATGTCTTCTGAGCCCCACATCTGCCCCCTTGGTTGTACTCCTGCTCAGTCAGGCAAAGGGGCTCTTTGGAGTCCACACAGCAGGGGCTCTGATGGGACCTCTGAGCAAAGAGCAGTTTGGCAGCACCTCGTTCCAGACCCCCAGGAGCAGCCCCTCCCTCCTCGCCAGTGCCACTCCCACAGCCTGCGTAGACCCCAGCCACCTTCCTCTGCACGGACGTTCCACTTGGCTTCATCAACCATCAGTGTGTGGGAGCTCAGCTCCTGCAGTTTGCAGTGGCTGCTGCTGACAAGCACGATGTTGGAGGGTTTGAGGTTCCTGAAACCAAGAGGGGGCCTTCCTGGGTGCTGCAGGGCTGCTGGGTGGTCCCAGGCTGGCATGCACCTGGGCGGCCAACTCCCTGCCCGCACCCCAACCACTTCTGCAGTGGCAGCCCACACCCTCCTCTCTTCTCCAGAAAATTCCCCTTCTTTGCCTACTTTTTCAGTGATTATTTCCCATAAACAGAAAATACACTTAGTTATTTTAACCTGAGGGAAAAACCCAACCATACGCAGGAATACACACACTTAGCCAGTCCAAGGCCCCTCAGCAATGTGTTCACCCCTTTGTAGGTCTCAGTTGTGCAATAGGGCTGGGTTTGCAGCCATTGTGCACTGTCTGGAGACACGCTGAATCATGAGCATTCCCTCTGTACATGTGGTCTGCCTGGTTTTTCTCTTCTTTAAATAAGATTTTGTTGGCTGGGTACAGTGGCTCATACCTCTAGTCATAGCTGCTCAGGAAGCTGAGGCAGAGGATTGCTCGAGCCCAGGAGTTTGACATTGCTGTGAGCTATGATGATGCCACTGCACTCTACCCAGGACAACAGAGTTAGACTCTGTCTCAAAAACAACACATATATATTGGTATTCATAATCAGAGCCAGCTCCCAACCCCTTCAGACTATGGGTTCTGAAGCCAAGAGCCACACTGCTGATAGCTGGGATGGGGTGTGCTGTAGCCCATGCCGGACCCAGAGGAGGAAGCCGCCCCCCCAGCCCCCATCTTGTACTTCAGAGCAGCCTACCCCAGCCATTACACCTCCATACAGCTGTGCACACGTCAGCATGTGAGGCCCTGGCACTGCTCAGAGGAGGGCACCATGCTCCACTCGAGGGAGGGGCTTGTAAGGCTGGTACCTGCCACCCATCCTGTACCCATCCCCAGCCCCCAACAGATGCTGCCTTTTCTCCTGAGGCAGCAAAACAGTCCCTGGAGGTGGCGGCCCTGATCACCTGTGAATGATGTCTAGCTGGTGCAAGTATTCTAGTGCGTCCAGCACCTGGCCCAGCACGTCCTGCAACCACTGGGGAAGAAGTAGAGATGCCAGGATGGGAGGGGGCTCCCTCCGGCTGCTTTTAAGTGGGACACCACTCAGAGCAGCAGCAGGACAGGGAGCACATTCTCTCCCTGTGGCTTGGGGCAGACATGAGCCAGGTGTATGCAGCAGGGCAGCCCTGCCCCCAGGCTCTAACTCCTGCCTCCCTACTGGAGGCCCTGTGTGCCCTGGGGCTCCAGCCCTGTGCCCCCTCCCCAGTGGCCACGAATGTGCACTGCCAACACCAGCGGGGAGTCTGTGGCAACCCCCCAATAGGTAACAGATGTTCATGCCTGCAGTCCCCACTTGGGGCCTGCTCCTTCATGTCCAGAAAATGAAAAGAACCCTGAGAGAGACACTTTGGAAGCATCTGTGTCAGGCACCAGCACTGCTAAGTTCAAGGGGCCAATGGGCAGAATGCCAGGCTCACCCTGCCCCGCTGGAGCTGCTCCATCAATGACTGAGCTTCTGGTAACCTTCTGTGTGTCAAAGGCTTGTATACCACAGACCAACAGAAAGCCCACTCAGTTTGGTTCCTGAGCCCCAGTTGAGAGGGAGCTTCATGCTGCCAAGGGGATATGGTGCTCAAAGGTTCCAAACAGCCTCCTCAGAGCAAAAGCAAGGAAATTTGGGTGATGCCTATGGCTCAGTGGGTAGGGCGCCAGTCCCATATACTGAGGGTGGCAGGTTTGAACCTGGCCCTGGCCAAACTGCAACAAAAAAATAGCCAGGCCTTGTGGCAGGTGCCTGTAGTCCCAGCTACTTGGAAGGCTGAGGCAAGAGAATCGCCTAAGCCCAAGAAGAGCTGGAGGTTTCTGTGACCTGTGACACCACAGCACTCTACTACTGAGGACGACAAAGTGAAACTGTCTCAAATTTAAAAAAAAAAAAAAAGGAATATTCATGTGGTAGAGATCATAGCTGTAAACACGACCAAGCTTCTGGAAGAAAACAAGAGAGAGCATCTTCACCGCCTCAGGGCAGGAAAGGGTTCTCAAAGGAGATTCAAGGCACTGACCTTAAAACTGCATCAAAAGGCATCATTAAGAAAGCGAACTGGGGGCTCGGCGCCTGTGGCTCAAGCAGCTAAGGCGCCAGCCACATACACCTAAGGTGGCGGGTTTGAATCCCCAGCCCGGGCCCGCCAAACA